AAGTCATCGGATATGGAAGGGAAAAACTCCTAAAAACCCTAATATCTTACCAAATTCGTAAATAACATTTGGAATTAAAGGATGCACTCTTAGTAAGTATACCTTAATTATGGGAGCTAAAAATGAACTGATTACTAACTAAAGAGAGCTCACTAGTGATAAATGACACTATTAGGTTGAAGAGAAAACTTAAAAATAGGTAAAAATGTTATAAACCCTGTTTACTACAAATTTGGTGGACCAAATTTATTTTAAGGGGGGGAGATTGTAACACTCCAGCCCAAGATGGGTTAGGTGTAAAAAAAAAAAGAGGGCCAAAACGATGTCGTTTTGGGGAAGAAGAAAAAAAAAATTGACCAAGGACATCTTCGCCCTGGTCTGAAAAAAAAAAAAGAGTCGTGTACGCCTCTTTTCTCCATCAAAGAAGAAGGAGAAAGGGTCATATGGGGTTTTCCTCCCTCCGAGTATAAAAGTAAAGAGAGAACCATGGAGAGGAGAGATCCCATGCGTGACGAGAGAGAGAGATCCATGCATAGAGAGAGAAAGAAAATTGTGCGAAGAGAGGAGATTTGTGAGAGGAAGTTGCGGCTACCACCAACATGCGCGAGGCAATCTGTGACAGTACGTGGCTTTCCCCACGATAAGTTGAAGAGGCTAGGTTGCTGATGACTTGTGCGATTAGAAACCAGAAAGGGAATCATACAACAACGTGCATCTAAAGAAGAAGGAGATTTGTGGTGGTAAGTCGCATGATTCAACCTATCCCTGGCTTCTTATGGTGCAATTTCACCATATACGTGCTGAATCTAAGTGCACAAAGCATTTCATGGTGAATTCTGGTAAATTCGCAGTGGTTCGTGGCAGTATGCAGTGGCTGACGATGGTCCGACAATGACGCTTCGATAGAAGACGCGTAGCAAATCAAAGACATGTGTATGGTGGCTTGTGGTAATTTTAGTGACTAGGATCGCACTACGATAAAACTCGATCTCTTTTTTGTATTTTAATTATTTCTAAAAGTGTCTATAATTGACCCACATATTTTCTATTTGTAAACTAGAGAGTTATCTAAAATAATACCGGATTTAGAGGAGAGCATAAACCCGAGCCAATATAGATTCTGACATTTTTCGATTTGACTGTAGGTAAGTGATTTGGTTAGTCTCATTCAGAGGCCCTCATATTTTTATAAAACTTTATTTTCCATTAAAATGATTTATTTACAAACTTTACAAATTATTTAAGTTTTCTAACATGACTTTTACGAATTCATCATGTGTGTGTGCAATTACTTACGATTGGAGATCTATAAGGTATTGTGTATGATTTATGTTTATGTATGTATATTGTCAGTAGTGTGTATATGCAGATTTTATGCAGTCTAGTTATTGAGTTGTATATGTGCATGATGCACATATATATATTTAATT